ACCTTTTTTTTCATTCCAATCCCTTAAACAGCCTCGCACAAAAGCCCAAATGATAATTCTGAAGCGAAAAGAATCAGGGGTAAAATCCCAGGGCGGGAGGAACTGCTCCCCCCAAGAGGTATGGGGTGCGGAAGGACACTACCCAATATTTGCAAAAATCACTTAAAATCCTTTGAAGGGAACTCTAATTTTAAGCAACAGGATGAACCAAGGAATATCGTTTTTTTGAAAGGTCTCTGTTTTTTATGACAGTTAAAGAATCAAATTTACAACCCCCAAATAATTTTTCATGGAAAAAGAGCAAGAAAAATCCGGGGGGGGGGTAAACATCACAAACCCCTATTTTTTTCCCTGATCCCCCCCCACCCCCCCGTGGAAAGACAAACTGCCTAAACAAATGATTTTTGAGTTCTCCCCCAGCCCACTTTTTTTTTCTTACATGCAAAATACCTCAATCCAGAGTTCCGCAACGGGGTTTGTTTTCCTTGGAAATGAATTGAGAACTCTCGTTTTAAATTGCCAACGGCACTCATAATTGATCAAAAGCACATTATTTTCCATAAAAACCGCACACACTGTTCAAACCCATCAAAACTGGAGCCATCCGCGCCGGAAGTCGACTCAGGTATGAAAAATCCTGCAGGACGGGGAGCTGTTAGTTTACTTTCTGCGCTATGGAGTACGGGGTGCTTTTGTAGTTGTGGTGTTGTCCAAATTTGGGTGTGCGATTGTGATTATTCCTGTGGGTATTCACTTTAGAAACTGTCTTTCCCGTATTGAGTTATTATTTTTTTTAACGAACTTCTTTGTTTAGGTGGCAGACTGAACACAACAACAATGAGTCAGGATCTATTCGATGATGAGGACTTTGTGGATGACCCAGAGCAGGTTGAATTTAGTGGGGTGAGTTGCAGTGGTACATCATCTTCGCCGGCCAGCCAGCAGAGCCAGCAACAGACACCTGCACCCTTGCCACCACCACCGGTGCCAGCTGCATCACCAGTAGCTGCGTCTCCCAAGAAGAGATGCAGAAGAAAGTGAACTCCCATCTCAATTCAAATGTAGACAATTTAAAGGCAGCTCTAACTGCTACCGTGGAAATAAGCAGTGCTCTAGCTGGTCGTCTGGTGTTTCGAATCGCTATGAAATTGCTCCAAGGTGCCTATGTGTGGGTCTTGCGTTCAATGAATTGTAGTCAGACAGAAACTTTATTAGATTCTCAGGAGGAAATGAGCCAAGAAGAAGAGAATGCTTTTTTTTATAGAAATTAGTGGATTTGTTAGAAACTATTTTCAGAAAGTATTGAAACATTCATCAGAGCAGCGAAGGAGACAAAGTGACTGCATCAAGCAAGTCTTTGTTGATGGCCAACATCCCATCACCAGAAGCCATTTTTTGAATAAGAGTAATTGGTACACCGGGACAGAAGAGGGCATAGTTCTCATTTCACATGCTTGCTCTTTTTTTAAAATTGTTGAACTAGCAATTATGCCTACAACTATTGACACTTCCTCCTCTGAGGAAGTTGTAGAAAACATAATGTTGCATAGAGCATTATTAGATCATTGGTATCATCTGTCCAATGCTCATTTTTCTGAAGATTTGTCCCTATTGTTTTTAAGAGAACTAATGGCCTCCTACGTGAAGTTTTCAACTCAGTTTGAAGAAAAGAGGCTTAACAGACTAGAAGAAAAAAGTGTGCGAGCTACTGTTGCTCCTCTCCGGGGCAATCTTCAACGCAACTATCTTGATAAAGAAGTGTGATGCTGCTAAAGAAATCAAAGAGTTTTGTCTGTTTGTGTGCTTGTGGTTTCTTTGGTTGAAAAAAATAATTCTTTTTGTTGTTTCTTTTTATAAGTGTCAATGATTATATTGATATCATGAATATTTTTATTTTAGAAATAATATACTGCTTTTAAAAAAGTTGTAGTCCAATTAGTTTATTGTTTCAATCAACAACTACCTTAAACTATTGTCAGTTTACTCCAGGATCATAAGGAGCAATAAAGTATAATATTTCTCTCATTGAGTCTTCGGTAACTATTTCTCCAAAGTAATATCGAACATTGCCATCATTGAGCTCAGTTACTGACCAGCACAAAACAAAACTACAAAAATGTAATAAGAAGCAAAAACAAAAAAAATAAATCAAGAACACAGCACATATCAACCACTGACAAGTAAAAATCAGCAGAAAAATATGACAAGACAAAAAGGCAAAAAATAAACAAAAAACAGCACATTCTGATCTTCTTGGAACCTTTCTGGAGGGCAAAGGTGTTGAGTCTACTTCAAAATCCTTCCTCTTCTGAACTTCAGTATTTCCTTTTTTTAGATGGTAAGGAAACATGGCCTTGTGCATGAATATTTAGCCTAGTGTGAAGAAAATCACCCAGTAGAGGATTTCTGTTGTCACCTTGCTTCCGCCGGATCATACTAAAATATTGTTCCCAGGGATCCTGGTTGAACACACGAGCACTGACAGAGGGAGCCTTAGCTACAGTCAGCATGTAACGAATGGCCCCTGCAATACCTTTCACAGTAATTTCAAGTGCACCCAAAGCTTGGTGACTCACTATCATACGGCTTCTTTCTGCATCAGTGTAAATGCCAGGCCTATTTAGTACGTCAAGCTTCCACTCCTCAAAATAACCCAAATATTCATTCTCCAAAAAGTCTAATCTTGCATCATTTGGGTCTGTGAAAGCTGTCTTGTCTGGATTTTTCTTCTCCGCACCATCATCCTTCCCATTCACACAGTCAAAGAATCTGTTCGAAAGTCTGATGAATTTAACCAGCTCTGAGGTGTCCAGTAACTTGAATGCTTCATGATGGGCCATATCTTCAATGCACCTTGCAACTGAATTACTGAATGTCTGGGTTGCATAAAGAACAGTCATACAACTGAGCTTGTCAGTTTTACATGTGCCTTTGTCAGTTTATGAGATCGAAACTTTTGACTCTTAGTAGCTTCATACAGTGCTTCAATCACCTTCCAGGACATATACTGGTGGTTCTTCCATAACTTACGAGACTTCTTATGTGAGAATGAATTAGCAAGTGCATTTCTAAGAGTTTTAAGCAAATGAGGAGGGTCCAGGATGAAGAAGAGCGGTCTTGAGTCTCCTGATGCTAGATTTTTAGTAGTGTAAGGGAGTATGGGGCGATTTGTAACAGGGGTGATTCGTAACAAATGCGTTTATTAATTTAAGTGGAGGGAGCAGAGGAAAATCTGAGTATGGCCCCTCTTTCGCTTCAAGTACAGGGTCCTTGAACAATCGAAGCGGATGTGATCGGTGCTCAGGTATAGTTTCGGAGGGGGTCTGAAATATAGAGTACACCGAAATTTCGGCAAACAGGCAAATCTTTTATTTTGAGTTCTAGGAAGTTTCTGTCTGAGGCTCCCCAGGTATGAATCACCATCGAAGTACCGTTGGGGCCTTGAAGCGTGACCCCTTTACAATGTAAACACGTGGCATAAGTTGCTTTTACTTTGTCCAGTGATAGTTAGGGACGGATTTCTTGCGTAACAGGCATTTGGGGTGATTCGTAACAGACCCGTATAAAAACAAGAATTTAAGAAGTTTTTGCTGTTAAATGCTTGCATTATTTCTCGAATCATCTGCTGTTTTATTCCAATACATTTACACAGCTCGAAATGCATTTTAAAGCGAGTTATTCTATGCTTTCCTCTAAAATTGAAAAAAGTGAGGTTAGGATTGACATAGCCTATCAGTTAAGGGGAGGTTCTACTGAAAATCTTACTTTCTCCAAATTGAGTCCCATTATCAATATTCATTGTAAATTTTAAGTATTTCATAGTAAATAGTTAAATTTGAAGTTTGGAGAGCAATACCTAGCCCCCAACCCAGTCGAAGAGGAATTTTCTGCTATTTCCAGTCATAACTTGAAAAATTCTCCTACGCAAAGTATTTCAACGTAAACTGATGTTCTGGGCATTTTTCACTTCTTTGGTTCATAATTGATAAACCGTGGCATTAGTAAGATACTGGGACCATTACAAAACCATAAGCTGTGTTTTTAAGACAGCATGTCAATAAAATTTCAAGAAAATGTTAAAATTTCTGATATTTTAGTGACTTTTTTTCTGAAAAGCAACGACAAAATAAATTTGTTGGGTCCCATGTCTCGGTGATGCCACGCTTTATTGCATATGAGCCAAAGAAGTGAAAAATGTCCAGAACATCAGTTTACGTTGAAATGCACGCGAAGACGCGAAGGTAGCCCGCCCACACACAGCCTGCAACAAATTTCCTTCTGCAATCGTTAGTATATCGTTAGTACATGATTGTAGACCCAATGCGGCCGTTAGTATACACACCCAAGTGCGTTTTAAAAAAATACCCAAAAGGCGGGCCACATTCACATGTTCAGTTACTTCCAAAAGAACGTGCCAAAAGAGAAAACGTCCTAAAATCGTTAGTACACGTTAGTAGAGGCCACCTCGTCACTATCAACATCATTCACTATCACCACGGCCGCAGTCTTGCACCAGCGAGTCCGGGCCAGGTTCCAAAAAGCAAATACTGATCAAATAACACTAAAGGCGTGTTTGTTCCGTTGAATTGCGTTAGTAGACGTTAGTAGACGTTAGTAGAGGCTATATGGTCACTATCAACATCATCACTAACACAGAGAACGTGGTATTGCTTTAGTGAGGCTGGGCCAGGTTCCAAACAGCTAATACTGATCAAATAACACCCTCGAAGTGTTTGTTCCGTTCAATTGCGTTAGTAGGCGTTAGTAGAGGCCATATGGTCACTATCAACATCATCACTAACACACCGTTCGTAGTATTGCTTAAGCGAGGCTGGGCCAGGTTCCAAAAAGCAAATACCGATCGCAAAACACCAACGAAGTGTTTTTTCTGTCCAAAAGCGTTAGTAGACGTTAGTACAGGCCATATGGTCACTATCAACATCATCACTAACACAGAGAACGTGGTATTAATTAAGCGAGGCTGGGCCAGGTTACAAAAAGCAAATACTGATCAAATAACACTATCGAAGTGTTTGTTCCGTTTAATTGCGTTAGTAGACGTTAGTAGAGGCCTTATGGTCACTATCAAGATCATCACTAACACACCGTTCGTAGTATTGCTTAAGCCAGGCTGGGCTAGGTTCCAAAAAGCAAATACCGATCGGATAACACCGACGAAGTGTTTTTTCTGTCCAAAAGCGTTAGTAGACGTTAGTAGAGGCCATATTGTCACTATCAACATAACCACTAACACAATGTTCGTAGTATTGCTTAAGCGAGGCTGGGCCAGGTTCCAAAAAGCTAATCCCGATCAAATAACACCAACGAAGTGTTTTTTCCGTCCAAAAGCGTTAGTAGACGTTAGTAGAGGCCATATGGTCACTATCAACATCATCACTAACACAGAGAACGTGGTATTGCTTTAGTGAGGCTGGGCCAGGTTCCAAAAAGCTAATACTAATCAAATGACACCATCGAAGTGTTTGTTCCGTTTAATTGCGATAGTAGACGTTAGTAGAGGCCTTATAATCACTATCAACATCATCACTAACACACCGTTCGTAGTATTGCTTAAGCGAGGCTGGGCCAGGATCCAAAAAGCAAATACCGATCGCAAAACACCAACGAAGTGTTTTTTCCGTCCAAAAGCGTTAGTAGACGTTAGTAGAGGCCATATTGTCACTATCAACATCATCACTAACACAATGTTCGTAGTATTGCTTAAGCGAGGTTGGGCCAGGTTTCAGAAAGCTAATCCCGATCAAATAACACCAACGAAGTGTTTGTTCCGTTCAATTGCGTTAGTAGACGTTAGTAGAGGCCATATGGTCACTACATCATCATCATCACTATCACACCGTTCGTAGTATTGCTTTTGCATGGCTGGGCCAGGTTCCAAAAAGCAAATACCAATCAAACGACATTATTTAGGTGTTTGTTCCGTTCAAAAGCGTTAGTACACGTTAGTAGACGCCATATGGTCACCATCAACATCATCACTAACACAGAGAACGTGGTATTGCTTTAGTAAGGCTGGGCCAGGTTCCAAAAAGCAAATACTGATCAAATAACACCAAAGACGTGTTTGTTCCGTTCAATTGCGTTAGTAGACGTTAGTTGAGGCCATATGGTCACTATTAAAACAAATTATGCAAATTATTGTTTGTTAGGAATTCTTACTTCAAATGGTTTTTTCTCAGGTATTATCGTATTTTTCTAATAATTGTTTTTTATCTTTTTTATTGCCAGAATGATGAAATATTGAAGTGGGCGACCGTGTCAACAACGCAGGAGAGAGGACTGGCCGAAAGCGGATAAAAGGAGTGGAAGGACTTCTAAGGTTGAAAACAGTATAAGTACGGAAAATCAAGGATGCTGCAATGTACTGCAGCAACTAACATTTATTGGCTGAGCGATAGCGAAGCCCGTTACTCCAGTGCGGTTGAAAAGTTTTGTCTGTCTGTGTGTCCGTGTGTGTGTGTGTGTACACTACTCCTCCTGAACGGCTCAGCTGATCTGGCTGAGATTTTGCAGGCTTATTAGGTATGTTCTTGGCTCGGCACACGCGAAATTTCACCATCCTAGCTCAACTGGTTCAGTTTTTATAGCCGAAAAACACCTAAAAACGGCGAAAATTCGATTTTTTCTGCAGGTATGTCACCTCTGTCTTGAAGAAAGGGGGGTCTGGGGGGCGGAGCCCCCCAGCCTCGACAAGTTAAAAAGTTACAAGGGTCAATCGTGTTATCTGTAGATGAAGCAACTCTAATTAAGGGGGGTCTGGGGGGCGGGGCCCCCCAGCATACAACACCTAAGAAGTAACCGACGATGGACAAGCCAATGCCTGCCGAAGGCAGGCTAGCGCCGCAGGCCAAGGTAGGTACGCTAGGCCCGGATTGGAGGAACAGGCCGCGAGATATCGCGAAGCCAGTTACGACAAAACGCGGTCTGGCGTAAACCTACCTTGTTGTAAGTGACCATATGGGCTCTACTAACGTCTACTAACGCAATTGAACAGAACAAACACTAAGTACATGTCATTCGATTGGTATTTGCTTTCTGGAACCTGGCCCAGCCTCGCTAAAGCAATACCACGTTCTGTGTGTTAGTAGTGATGTTGAAAGTGACCATATGGCCTCTACTAACGCTATTAAACGGGACAAACACTTTAATTGTGTCATTTGATCGGTATTTGCTTTTTGGAACCTGGCCCAGCCTCGCTAAAGCAACACTACGAACGGTGTGTTAGTGATGATTTTGATAGTGACTATATGGCCTCTACTAACGTCTACTAACGCAATCGAACGGAACAAACACTTCGTTGGTGTTCTTTGATCAGTATTTGCTTTATGGAACCTGGCCCAGCCGCGCTTAAGCAATACTGTAGAGTTAGAGCCAGTGGCTATGCGCAGTCAGCACCGCTATTGGCAGTCCAGCGGTCGCGCATGCGCAGAGTGTCGAACCGGGCCTTGACAACGGTTGTTAACGCGGGCGCTTCGGTGCCAGTTGTACTCGAGCTCTGTGTGAATAAACACGTCTCCGGCCTACTCCTGGTTCCCTCAGTCTAGACACCAGAAACCACCTCCCAATCACCACAATACCACGTTCTCTGCGTTAGTGATGATGTTGATAGTGACCATATGGCCTCTACCAACGTCTACTAACGCAATTGAACAGAACAAACACTTTGTTGGTGTTATTTGATCGGTATTAGCATTTTGGAACCTGGCCCAGCCTCACTAAAGCAATACCACGTTCTCTGTGTTAGTAGTCATGGTGAAAGCGACCATATAGCCTCTACTAACGTCTACTTACGCTATTGAACAGAACAAACACTAAGTAAATGTCATTTGATTGGTATTTGCTTTTTGAAACCTGGCCCAGCCTCGCTAAAGCAATTCCACGTACTGTGTGTTAGAAGTCATGGTGAAAGTGACCATATGGCCTCTACTAACGTCTACTTACGCAATTGAATAGAACCAACACTTCGTTTGTGTTATTTGATCGGTATTACCTTATTGGAACCTGGCCCAGCCTCGCTTAAGCAATACCACGTTCTGTGTTAGTGACGATGTTGAATGTGACAATATGGCCTCTACTAACGTCTACTAACGCTTTCGGAAGAAAAAAACACT